CTGCATTTAGCAAGAAGAAGAATCTTTTTACCAGCAAATTGGACTTAAATTTGAGGAAGAAACTAGTGAAATGCTACATTTGGAGCATAGCTCTGTATGGGGCTGAAACATGGACACTTAGGGCAGTAGATCAGAAACATCTGGAAAGTTTTGAAATGTGGTGTTGAAGAAGGATGGAGAAGATCAGTTGGACCGATTATGTGAGAAATGAAGAAGTGTTAATTAGAGTCAGTGAGCAGAGGAATATCCTACACGTAATAAGAAAACGGAAGGCTAATTGGATTTGTCATGTTTTACGCAGAAACTGCCTTCTAAAAGAAGTTATCGAAGGAAAGATAGAGGGGCGGATAGAAGTGACAAGAAGATGAGGAAGAAGACGTAAGAAGATGTTGGATGACCTTGGGGACAGAAGAGGATACTGTCATTTGAAGGAGAAAGTTCTAGATCGCATTAAGCGGAGGAATTGTTTTGGAAGAGACTGTGGACCTGTCGTCTTGACAGATTACTGATGATGATGATGATGATGATGATGATGATGATGATGATGATGTGTCATGAGGTCTGATTAAAATGCAGTTACAAAGTCATGTTTTAAGACCATGTTAGCTGCTTAGATATGGCAAGCTAAATTGTTGAACAGAGTTAGTCTCTAGCTTCATCTCGCCAAACAAGTTCATCTGAAAGTGTTACTCTAGATTTGTATTCAGGAGGTGTTTGGTTTTAATCTTGGCTTGGACAGAGGCAATACTGACTGAGGTTTTACTAGTTTTTCTCAGTCTCTCCAGGCAAATTCCAGGGTAGGCCCTCAGTTAGGCAATGATGGCTTCCTTCTTGTTTATTGTTCATCTGTCATCTTACCATTTGACTCTGTAGAGTCACTGATATTGAAAGTATCATAAAGTAACACACTTTAACTTCATTCATAATCTTCTATGAATAAACTTAAAGGAGGAATATAGATAGTTAGATAATGTTTGTAGAACTTTGTGGGTAAACTTTATGTATATATTTCTTCTTATATGAAGTTCTCTTTTCTAGAAAATGACCATATTCCTTTTTAAAATGGACTTAATGATTGGTGGCCATTATCACTGTCTAAACTGGTTTACAGGTCAGGATGAATTCCAGTAATTGCAAATGTGAAGCAAACCTAATATTTGTTTTCTGATTACAGCTTAGTATATGCTGTTAAGCAATGTTAACAATTTGCTGAGGTGTACAGTGCATTCAGCTATGTGTTTTGTTCCAGTAGAAGAATAGGAGAAAAGATATTGCTGAATCTATGTGTTAATGTTGACAGATCTGTAGCATTCACAAAGGGCAGATGGTATGGGCTCGTCACAAGAACAGGCGCTACTACAAAGGACGGATTGCCAGTATTTCAGAAATCCAGTTCTATATGGTTCTGTTTTCTGATGGCTCTTTTAGTGATGATCTATATCCAGAAGACATTACAGTAAGTTTGTGACTATTCTTTTTAAGAAAGGCAACTGTGTTCCTAATGCTGGTTCATTACAGACTTAATCTTTCATATTTCATTGTAAATGTGAATTCTGTATAAGCTGCAGTAAGGTAAAAAGAATAATCGTTTCCACAGCATCCTAATTTCTTCTTTTATAATAATCACTGACTTTATATTCAGCTCCTCATCTCCATTTTGAACGATTGAAATACTGGAAGTAGAATTTCTTAGAAATATAAATCACTCCTTTCATGATCATGATCATGATAAGTTGGGGTTGGTATTTTTCATGTTAACGGCACAGGTATCTGTTCGTCAAGATTAAAATATTGTCACGTGTTGGGTGTGTCACGCGACAAATTCATGTGGGTCTTGGATGCAGCGAATTTTTATTGGACACTCACACTTATACACCATACAAGTATTATCGCTTATGGTATCACGTGGCTTCTGCGACGTCTTGACTAGGTTCCAACTGCCTTGTATGAAGGCTGGGTTCCAACTGCGCTGTATGAAGGCTAGATCTCAACTATCGTCCTGTAGCTCTGTCGCTCTCAACTTATGTAGGTGTTATGCAGATCGGATGCGAGACACCATTCACCAAGGTTCGATCTCGCTTCTTCGTCAATCCATTGCTTTGGGAATGATCTGTATATATTACAGCGGTAACGTGTTTCATCTCATCTGTTGGTACTCAACAGCCTTCTGTTGTTCATCTCCGGGGAAACACGTTCGTTGTTTTGGCATTGTCTACGCAGTGGCCCACTGTTATTGCATCGCCATGGAAGTATCTACTCCAAACATGTTACAATATTTTACATTCATTTACTTTAGCATCACTTGGGGCAATTACAGCAATAGTTTTGAGACACATGATCATGTTTTTAACTACATGTTTGAAATTTCTCCAGATGTCACTTATTATGATGGGGAAACCCATTTCATTGTGCTGCATGAAAATTGTGCTCTGCATTATTCCTTGCTTCCGGGAATACCACAAACTCAGAAACTGTCAAGGCTTAATGCATGAGATAATGATTTGTGTGATTATGTAACAATTTTAAAATCTAGAAACAGATGCAAAAGTTGTGTTAGAAAATTTTTGTTTACATTTGAAAGTACAACTCTCTATCCATGCTTATTTATTTGTAGTAATGAGCTGCAAAAATCTAACAGAGTGTCAGCTTTGTAGGATATGCCTGATAATGTAGATCTATGTTTTTCTACAAGTGAATGAATTAAAAATGCAGGAGGTTAGAAAGGGGTTGATCTCTCCCATAAGTTAAGGTTTATTTTTTAATGTACAGTATTTTATTTTTATTTGTGTATGAGTGGCAGTCAAATGAAAACGGGTCAGAAGCCAAAGCATATTAAAGAACATTTCTTACCTCAAAAGTAATCTCCAAAACTGTTAATACATTTATTCCACTTGGAGATAAGATGGTCAATCCATCCTTGAAAAAGCTTGTGGGCTGTCTACAGAACCACGTCTTTACCCAGCCACACACGTCTTCATCCGATGCAAACCATTGCCCATGAACGTGTCTCTTCAGGTCTCCAAAAATGTGAAAATCACTTGGGGAGAGATCTGGGCTGTAGGGGGGATGTTGAAGCACTTCGCAACCAAATCTCTGTAGTGTATTCCTCACAGTTGGCAGTGTGGGGGTGTGCATTATCATGCAGAAGGATAATGCCATTCGATAGCATTCCAGGGCGTTTTGACTTTTTGGCATATTTCAGTTTCTGCAAAGTGTCTTCATAGCGCTGTGCACTGATTGTGGCCCCATGCTTGGGAAATTCAACAAGCAGAGGGCCCTTGCAGTCGAAGAAGGTCATCGCTTTACCAGAACTTGTGTGTATGGCTTAGGATTTCTTTGGTGGGAGAGAATTCACGTGTTTCCACAGTTGGCTCTGCTGTTTGTTCTCGGGTTCAGAATGGTGGCACAAGTTTCATCCCCAGTGGCAATATGGGACAGAAAAGCATACTCTTCCTCATGGTATCGTTGCAAGTGACCCAGTGATGTAGCCATTCCCTGAGTCTTCAATTCGTCCATAAGTTGATGTGGAACCCACTGTGCACAGATTTTGCGGTACAGCAGGTGTTTTGTCACAGTGGCGTGTATTGAACCGTGTCTTATTCCCATCAAAAGACTAATTTCTTCCACAGCGATCCGTCGGTTTGCCCGGATATGACCACCCAATGCAACAAGAACATCAGGAGTGATGACACGATGAGCCTGTCCTGGGATAGCGTCATCTTGCAGTGACACGTGTCCCTCTCGGAATCTCTTATGCCATGCCAGCACACGCGAACATGACATGCTGTGTTCGCCATAAACAACAGACATGCAATGATGAATTTCTCGTCCTAGTACTCCTTCAGCAGTCAAAAAGCTCACTACACTTCGCTGTTCTTCTTTACCCACCTCCATTACTGATGTTGGACGATGACACATAGCGCTAACCTTACTTCCAGCACAATAAACAAATGACTAGTGTGCAAGGGAACGTCATTGTGCTTCCCCGAGTCCCCACCAGATGTTCGTATTGTAAGCAAATTCCAGTGTTACCAACTTGCGCACCGTGTGAGTTATGCATGGTGCCCGTTTTAATTTGACTTATATTTTGTATTTAGCTTTATGTTGATTTATGTTTCAGAATTTTTCATGTGCAAGAGATGGTCCACCACATGTAGGTGCAGTTGTGGAGGTCCTGTGGAGTGATGGCAGGAAGTACAATGGCCAGTTCCGAGGTACCAACCACCAGCTCATGTTCACAGTAAGTGTTTGTAACAATACTTTAAATTCAATATTTAGTCAAGACATTTTCATGATACATTGTTGAGAAATTGTAATAGTTGACTACACATGAAAGCACTAATGGCAAATTTTAATGCTGGTCTTACATTTTACAGATTTTATTTTAATCCTCTAGCATGTGAGCCTCCAACAAACCTGATCTCATTTATGTTACTTGATGGCAGTTTATTACTTTGTTCTCTTAACACTGAAAATGTCATGCTCAAAATTTGCTGAGGAAACAACTGCATGATGAGGAGCTTCTTAACTTGTGCTCTTCTCCAAGTATAATTAGACTGATCAAGTCAAGGAGGATGAAGTGTGCAGGGAATGTAGCACAAATGGGGGAGAAGAGGAATGCATATATGATATTGGTGGGAAAGCCAGGAGGAAAGAGACCACTGGGAAGACCAAGACGTAGGGGGGTGGACAATATTAAAATGGATCTTAGAGAGATAGGATGGGATGGTATGGATTGGAGTGATCTGGCTCAGGATAAGGGCCAGTGGAGGGCTCTTGTGAACACGGTAATGAACCTTTGGGTTCCATAAAATTCTGGGAAATTCTTGAGTAGCTGCAGCTTTGGCTTCTCCTCAAGAAGGGCTCAGCTCCATAAGTAAGTAAGTAACATCTGTCATCTTTGTTTTATAAAACTAAAGAAAGAACTAACATTTTTTCTTAAGTATGCATTTGCAGAGTTGTATCTGACACACTGACTTTCATGATACTTGAGTACTAGACAATAAAATTTAAAATGTTTCCCTGTTTTGATGAAATGATTCTTATGCACTGTTTCAACAGGAGGGATTTTGTAGTGTCAGGTGATGTTTAGACGTGACTATAATGAGGAGAAGATAAGGATTTGAAGTGAATAGTCATGGCTTATTGTCAGGTACTCTCCCTATACTCTCCATATATGCACTTGGAGAGAGTGGGAAGACTACAAATAATTTCAGTCATGATAGCGATTAGTCCAGCCAGAGTTTGAACTGGGTGACTCCTAATTACAGGCCTAGTACATTAATGCCACACTAATCTGCTTGAGTTTCCAATATATATAATACATGGTGTGTTCAAAAAGTATTGAACCTTTGGTTGGCAGAAATACATTTATTGATTTGGAGGTACAAAACCCTAATCCCCTTCAAAGTAGTCTCCTTGGTAATGCACACTCCCAGCGCTTCCGCCATTGTTGAAAACACTTCTTGAACGCGTCTTTTGGAATGGTGATCAGCCGGGTCCTTGCATTCTGCATGATGTCTTCTCTTGACTCGAATCGGGTTCCTTTCAGCGGCATTTTCAGCTTGGTAAATAGCCAAAAGTCACATGGAGCCATGTTGGGGGATTAGGGAGCCTGACGAACCACAGGGATGTTGTGTGTGGCGATGAAAGTCTGAATGAGATGCGCAGAATGGGTGGGTGCGTTATCATGATGGAGCTGCCAAGTTTTTGCTGCCCACAGATCTGGTCGTTAGCGCCGCACAGCATTACGAAGGTGATGAAGGACCTCCTGGCAGTATTCCTCTGTGATGGTTTGGCCTTGTGGTGTGTACTCATGATGCACAACCCCACGGGAGTTGGAAGAAAATGGCCAACATGACCTTGACAATGCTGCGGATCTGCCGTGCATTTTTTGGCCTCGGGGATGTCTGATGTTTCCACTGTGATGACTGCATCTTGGTTTCCGGGTCGTACCCATAAACCCACGACTCATCACCTGCGATCACGGTGTTCGGAAAGTTGGGGTTACTGTTTGCATTGTCCAGCATGTCCTGTGCGATTTCCAGACGGCGTTGCTTCTGCTCCATTGTTAGCAGTTTCGGTACGAATTTCGCGGACACTCTCCTTGTGCCCAAATCCTTGGTCAAAATTGAATGTACCGATCCAATGCTTACCCCCATCTCGTTCGCAAGTTCTCGGACTGTGATATGACAGTCCTCCATGACCAAAGTCCGAACTTGCTCAATGACATTCTCATTTTGGCTTGTTAAGGGTCTGCCTGAACGCGGTTCGCTGTCCACTGATGTGCGGCCATCTTTGAAGCGGTTGTACCACTCTTTTATCTGTGAGTTGCTCATGGCATCGTCCCTGAAAGCCTGTTGAATCTTGCGAATGGTTTCTACTTGGGTATCGTCAAGCTTTTGGCAAAATTTGATGCAATATCGCTGCTCATGTTGTTCCATCATTTTACACCTTACTGGAATCTGATGAGTGCTCACTACATGTCCTCACTCATAGGCCGACTGCCAGCGACTGATGCTTTCTGCAGGCGGGAAAAAATTCACGACTGCGCATGAATGTCCCCTCCACATCTCCACGGAAGGGAGCCTCCCGCGCTTCATTGGTTTACGTGGGAAAAAAGAAGGTTCGATACTTTTTGAACACACCACGTATGAATCACTACCAGTTAATATTGTGGCATGTTTGCCCAAAACCAGAATAATTTAACTGGAAGAGATGCCTGTTACTAGGTTACGGCACAATAAATAGTGATGCATCAGTGGAACGTGAAATGCTGTGTCAATGTAGCATGAGAATGAGAAGACTTAGGGCATGCTGCAGTGAATTGCAGAGTATGTTAATTAGCAGCAATGCTAGAGTTAATTGTAGAGTTACAATCTGTAAATCCAGTTACCAATCCAAACCCTGCCTATAACCACTCCAATCATGTGACAGTATGTTAGTTCAGTTGTTTTGTTTGTGAAGTATCTAATGATGCTGTATAAATTGTGAATGTTATTTTTGTTGTTCAGCATTTAATTAGTGCAAAGATTGTGATGTACAGAAAATGGAAACAGAGGGAAACACAGTAGTCACAGTAATTCTGACCACTGTGTAATCTTCATATATGAAACATTTGTATTTGCCATCATTGCAGCAACTCATAGATTTGTACTTGAGAGCTGACTGCTTCAGATGTCTTGTGTCTGCTTGGCAGCTTTCTTTATAGGGTCTTCATGATTTTCACCACTGTCTCTAAGTAAATTCCAGGATAATACCTTCAAAAAGGCCATGATTAACTCCTTCCAGATTCTTAGCTACTTAGCTTCATCTCATGACATTTAATGCTTGTAACAGATTCATTATATATGATTATTGAGAACTAGTCATTACATCATGTCAGCATCTTTACATCAAAAAATATATATAGGCATATAGGAATGATACTGTTTCAGGTTGCTTTTGAAGACAGTTCTCAGCTCACACTGAAACGTGAGTCAATCTACAGTTTGGATGAAGACATGCCCAAGAGGGTGAAAGGACGCTTGGTAGGTATAGATTATTATTCTAACAGACAGTATCACCTTTTTTAAGGATAGTCTGAATAATATGAGGATACAGTGTAACCATTGTTTAATGAATATTGGTTTTAACAAGACCTTCATTATAATGAGAAAGTCCTTAGCAACATTTATGTCTTAATGTTACATATGTGGGAAATCCTGCATAAAACAAGGGCTTTTCTTTTGATGTTGTCATCATAAAGAGTGATTCCTAGCTAGCTGCATCTGCTTCCCCATTACTCTTGCGTCAGCTGTGCCCTTCCTTTCTTTAGGTGTAATAATTCACATTCGAGTGTCTGTATGTGCTGTAGGAATAATGTACTTGACCTTGATACAGAGGTGTTTTAATGTGTCAGTTAATTCTTCATAATGTTATGTAGTCATGGTAGATTTAGTACAGTGTTCTTAGGACGGCATTTAGCATGACTCAGCGTCTTTGAGGTTGCATCAATTCTGGATATTGTCCAGTGAGAAACATGCATCATATGACATCCTTTGAAATTCTCATCAGTCCACCCACTTGTTTTATTGAGTATTGTGTTGCTCATCTGATGAGCAGAAGTTGGATATTGTGATTGTGGTTTCTGTTTAAATTAAAAAAAAAAATGTTCACTCCTAAATACAGCAACAAGACGTGGACTTGAATATGAAACTTGAAATGCTTTTTGAACTTGTTGGCTTGTCAAAATGAAATAGGAAGATGGTGTGGATTGACTTTTGCATTGTTCACCATTTTGAAGAGCAGTGGAAGAATGCAATCAATTATTTTTTTATGACAAATCAGAGGCACAGGAACTGATATGAAGATCTGGAATCCATGCTTTTCAGGTTGTTTAGCAAGGAAAATTGGCTGCCATATTGGTTGATAAACTAGTGCTCAAGACAAAAGCCAGCCTTTTTATGACAAATGTATAAAGGCTGAGAACTCACAGTGTTCTCAAGGCTGGCTTTTCCATTTCAGCACAAGAGAAGGCATTAATATATGCACAGAGTGTTGGGGAATTGGGTACATTTAGAGCTTCCCTGTAATGTAACATGTTATGTAATACAGGTAGTCAGTTGGACCACAGTTTCCTTGTGCATTATAGACATGCTGCAAATGATAGTTGGGACATCATTTTATAAAGAATGCCACATAGTAAATTGCTGGTTGCAAAAATTAAGTTAGAGCTTGAAAATTATTTCCGAAGTAAGGTTGTGCCTTACTTACCTTCTAGATAAGTGGAATCCTTTTAGGAGAGATCTCTATGCTAGGTTGACTGATTATATTTATCACACCAACAGTGTGGGCAACTTCCTTGTATTTTCTACAGATATTACTGTTTCATTTATACCACCATGGCTGCCTTCTACCCTGTGTGGTGATGATCATCATATGCATGTTATAACTTTCAGTGTTTTTTTGCTGTCATGTAAATTGAAACTGTGACAGAATGCATATGATATAATGAGGACACACTGGAACCGTTAGTTTCTTCAAATTACTTTTATGGAATACATCAGATAATTGATTTCTTTCAACATCATCATGATGAGCAATTCTAAACTAGCTGCAACTGATTTTACATAACTTTCACACCAACTATTGTTGCAGTTTTGTTTCCAAAGATGGCAGTCCATGAAAGTCCCATTAATCAACCTTCTCAGTCTGTTCCTTATCGAGGAGAAAATTTGACACCTTCTCGAGTCTCTTCCTTGTCGAGGAAGAAATTTGCATCCCAGTATCTAACCTTGAGATATGTAGTATATCATGTGAGCCCAGTAGCTTGTTTCATTGTGTATTTTGTTGCTGGCTATTGAACATAGCTGAAAACGTCTCTTTTCGTATGGTTTATGTTTGTTACAAAATATTCAGTCCTAATTTTAGCTATGCGGCAGAAGAATACAGTGCTTAAGATAATATGTGGTCTGGTAATAAAGTTCCCAGCCTCGTGCTGTAGCATTTGCGTTAGGTGGTGGTGAAATTAATTACTGCCTTCTAAATGTATGAATGAATGTATAAAGGGTGGGCCTTCTTGGCCCTTGCACCACGACATACAGTGATCTATTGTGCTTCCCCTTAAAAAGTCTCCCTGTCAGGGAATCAAACCCTAGTCTCCCACGTGACAGGCGGGGATACTAACTATGTAGTTTTACCTCCTACTAACAATTGGCAGAGGTTATCAGATCCGATCACCGACATTTCATGAGTAGCAGTTCTGTAAGTTAGTTGTGTTTTAAACTGTGTAAAACGCTAGTAGAAACTGAAATGTTGCAGACTGTCTGTGGTGATAGTTCTGTATCTGAATGGTTTAATTGATTTAAAGACGGGTGTGAGGATCTTCAGGATGATCCAAGATGTGGGCATCCTTCAGCATCTTGAAATGCAGACATAGTTGCAGATGTCCATGAATTGGTGACATCAGTGAGCTTTCAGAATGGTGAGGGATGAATTAAACATCAGTAAGGAGATAATTTGTTAGATCCTTCATGAAGATACATGGAAGAGGAAGATCTATATAATGTTCATCCCACACAGACACATGGATGAGCAGACCAATGAGACTCGCATTATCCAGACTTGTCAAGACAATTCCGATTTTCTTGATTGCATTTTCCCTTTCTTAAGGCAAAACCGGGTGTCAAAGGAAGTAGGTTTCAGGATGCCTAATACATCATGAGAAATGTGACAGCCAAACTGAACACTGTTCCTCTATAGGCCTTTACTGACTTGTTTTCAAAAACTTTTTAAATGATTCAACATTTGTATTCAAGTAGGTTGGGATTACATTGAGTAGAAATAAAACAAGTTTTTATTTCCTTGTATTTTTTATTTTTTATCATTGGTCCATCAACTTTATTTCCAGACCACATATGTCTGTCTGAAGTCTGTGGCTTGTCAAAAAGTGGAGTATGAAAATGGTATGGATTGACTTCTATGAATTTGTTCATCATATTATCATGTATTAGTGACTAGACATGGAGTATGGGTTGATAATTTGATTTATTGAGCCTATATAACTCATAACTACAAATAGTTATAGCACTGTCACTAATCTATGCACTTAACAAATCACTAGAGCGCATGCAACATCTGTCTGTTACTGTCTTCAGTATTTATTGCTTGGTTACAGTCTTCACTAGGCGACGCTAGGTTATGGCTGCTAACAATGGAGACTCGTATGCTTCTGTGCTCACATCCTCAATGGATGATGGCTGGCTTGCAGTTCTCTCTCACAACTTGTGACCAGCTAGCAGTCGCTGTCTGCTCACTGGCTGTCACTCTCTGTCTGGCTAACTCTTCACAATGGCCCTCACTGTATAGCCTCAGGGCAGTTCTCTGTTGTAGCGTGTTGATATGTGAAGAATTCCCCTATTGTTGAGAGTGTATCAGTTGCCTTGGACATGCTTTATGCAGCTGTTTCCACATAATGGTTGGTGTCACTTGATGTCACAGTATTGAACAACAGAGAGAAAATGTGATGTGTTCTGTGTGATGGAGGACCAGCAACACAGAATGAATGCAGAATTCCAACAATAAAGAATTTGCTCTCCAAGTGGTTGTACCAAGAGAGATTGGTTTGTATGTCAAGTGATGGACCAGTGATCAAAGCAGCAACCACTCCTCAAGAATGAAGAATTTTTGGTGTTCTAAAGTGTTATTTCAGTGTTTCAAAGCATGAGAAGTCAGTAATATGCATAATGTGTCTTAGGGGTCAGCTGCAGTAGACCTACCTATTGTGAAAGATTGGCCTATAGTCTTAAGTGACGCTTTGTAGTGGTACAGGATATTTAGAGTGCAGATGAAAGGGACTATGCAAGTATAATCTGCGTCCAGGTAAAACACTCAGAAGTGAACAGTAAGGGAAAAAAAGAAGCAAGGAGCAATTTAGTCTTGATGTGTGGTAATGTGGCTGGTTCTGATAAAGTGAACCTGTTCTTGCCAGGAATTCACAGTGACCTCATTACTAAAGAGACAGTGAAATTCTGCTCTATTCCTGTGACTGAAACAGAAAAGGATATTTGTTCAGTGGCTGAGAAGATGCCAAAATGGAAGCCTACAACAGAAAGGTTGCATTATTCATTTGCCATTATCCTACACATGCTCAAGTGGAGCTCTGGAATACTGAATTAATACTCCTATCAGTAAACATTAGTTTTTTACAATCTTTGGACCAGGAGGTGACGGGATCCCTGTGCCATTGTATGATGATGAGCAGTAGACAACACCACGCTGCCAAAAGGGAATATGCTGGATGCAGTGAGGGGTAAAATTTCATCCCAACACGCTGCTTCTTACATGCACGATATTTAACCCTTCCATAAGGGAGGATTTATGTGCCAGCTTATAGTGTGGTGCAGGAGGAGTTTCCTCTGTGGATTTAATTTTCAGTTATACCATATAACACTGGATTCAGAACTAGTAATAACTACTATTTCCTTCTATTAGCTGGTCTTTGATTGACATTTCCAAGATCATTTACTCTGATAAAAATTGATAAATTCAGTCAAACACACACAATGATAGCCAAGACCTTTATCTCGAAGTATATGGAAGCAGCATTCATGTGGTTCAAATACAAAATGTGAGATGGAAGCACAAAGCACAAATAAGTCATCTTATAATGCACAGCACTCCGTAGTATGATGAGGCAGCCAAGTAGTGTGCAGTCCACAACTCTGCACAGACAGGTTAAGATGGTGGAATAAGCAGCACTACAGACTTTGCAACTGAATGGGCCAGAAGGGTGCTGGCCCATGTGCATCATCCATACACTTTCCAGAACTACATAAAATATCAGTAGGGTGCTGCCCATATGTGAGCAGCTAATGGCAAAAGACCTAATAGGAAGCATACAGACACCCAAGATGACTCCAGTTCCGATTAAGGAAAAGCAGAAATACTCATCAGTTCTAAGAAACATTTACAGAGTTATGATATTGCAGCTGCAGAAGTCATACAGAAATTTTGTGGTGTGGAGAGAGTTACTATTCAGACAATAGAG